ATTTAGTTTATAATATTCGATTAGTTTGTAATATATTACATTAAAATATTTAAAAAACTCACTTTTTGTATTCCACAGAATGAATGGCATGTTCACTTTTTCCCTGTGCTTAACTCATGTTGCATTGGGTCTTCTACTCCATAGGGATCTTGCAGCCAGATTACTTCAGATGATCCCTGATAACGAGATATTGTTAGCCAAACTGTGTGCCTTCTACCCTGGCAGCTCAGCCGAAATCAATGACCTACACGAAAAGGTAGCTACTTCATTCATACTCCCCAATGTTCACCATTAACCCAGTAAAAATAATTCATGCATTGATTGTGAAAAACCAAACAAGAATCCATAGTGTTTATTATTTGAAGTGAAAATTGTATATTCTGCAAAGGCAGACATTTATTTAACTATAATATTTTATAATAATTCATTTAAAAAAAATTTCAGTGTGGTCTACCGACTTTAGAGGAATGTAAAGAACTTGCTGAAAGTGCACATGCTGAGGGAGAAATCTTCCCAGCGGTAAAATATTACCTCCTGAGCCCAGAACCAGAAAAAGCTCTTCCCATTGGGATCACATATGTCAAAGGTGAGTGTCTTAGAGACAGAGAAAATGTATCTGTGTCTAACTTATTCAACTTTATATTTCATTACAGTGCACTTTCCAGAACATGTTCGTTTTACAGACTATGCATACTTAGTGTAGCATACTGCATACTTACATTTTATCAAACTCTATTTTAAAGGTTGACTGGACTATCGACTGTAGAAAAATTAGACATTACTTTTAAAAAGCAATGCAATAAAGGCAATTTAGTATGAGCAACTAACTTGTTGCAAGTGTTAAGGTTCAAGTCACCACTGGAGTGATTAGTGTTCTCTTCATTGAAGTTTCTTCCATTTGACGTGTGAGTATATACAACTTGTTTTGGTCTATATAAGTGATTCTATAAAACTTTTCAGTTTATTACACAAACTGAAACACAAGTTAGACAAACTAAGAAAGTTCTCATAATAACTATTATGTAATGTTAGTCTTAATCTTAGACCCATAAGTACAAAAAAATAAAATAAAACATTATTAGTTTTGAATTTCTCGAACACATTATATTATACCAACTTTAATTAAGTTGATGCAACATTTTTCCATAAGTTGAATATACTTAAAAAGTCCTAAAGCTGGTTGCCTCAAGGTTGCCTAGTTTCCTTTTTACAGTGTAGACCTTCTACAGTACATAAAACAATAAACAATTCATGATGACAACACAAGATTGTGTTATCCGAATGCACAACTGATGCCTTGATGAAAAGAATTCAGCCAACAATAGATTACTGACTCTCTCCCCTCAATAGAGCAGCTGAGCTCTCCTGACTGGACGGTGGACTCTGTGTACCACATCCTAGACCTGCTGAGCTACATCAGAACAGACCGTCTTATTCTTCCAAAGTGTAGTGAGTAAGTCAGTGACCTTCCCTCAAAAAGACCTGTTGATGTCATTTATAGCAGCTTTCATTCTATGGTCATCTCACTATCTCTCTCTTTCTCTGTCTTTGGCTAGAGAACGCAATGAGTTGCTTATTCTCTGTGGGTATATTGGTGCACTATTTGCCATTGGGAGCCAGTATTCAAGTATAGTGCCAGCACTGTATGAATACACAAGGTACGTTGCCTGTTGGATGTATATTAAGTTACTCAATTAATGGTGTAAATATCGCAATTAATGTCTTTCTCTCTTTCTTATCTTTCTCCCTCAGTCAGCTGCTGAAGAGGAGAGAGGTGGCTGTGCCATTGCAGATAGAGCAGCTGTCTGTAGAGTTGGAGGCCTGGAGAGCCTGCACATATTCCCTCAAGTTTGTACCAAAATACATTACTGTAATTCATAATTCACAACGGCTTTGTTTCAAAGTCAGTATTTTAAAGCGTTGTACGCTATTCCAAACAGTATGCAAAGTTATGCTGCCTTAACAGATACCTTATTTTAGACGATTTCCAAGTGAGGATCATAGAAAATGCACTCCTAGAATGCACTGCAGTTAGGGCACTGCCCTTAACACTTCTGCCATGTTGAAAATCCTTTACCTAATTTGGTGTTCTCTGTCAAAAATGGCCTGCTGATTAAATTGCTTGTAAATCTCTCATTATGCTATTGTATCATGAAATACTGGATTGAGTCTTTTTGTCTCTCTACACATACACAGAGTGGCAGATGATGCATTGTACAATCCCCCATCTGAGGCCCAGAAAAGGGAGTACAGCCAGCTGTTGAGTCGGATGAGTGAGGAGCCTATCAAGGGCCTAGAAGGTCCCGACTATGTCACTGGCTCCAACTTGCCCAGCCACTCTGATGTCCAGATTTCCTGCTTCACTGGCCTCAGGATACAAGTGGGTTTCTTGTGGATAGTCTTGTATTAGCACTATACAAATATCACTGAACTTAAATATGCCTTTTCTTCCCTGGCAGGGTCCAGCATTCTTCCTGGAAGATGGCAAATCTGCCATTTCACTAAATGATGCCCTGATGTGGGCGAAAGTAAACCCTTTCTCTCCGTTGGGAACGGGTATACGCCTCAACCCCTTCTGAGCACAAATACAACAAATGTGAGCAGTATTCTTGCTAGTCTGGCTCTGGAAAAGCGACAAGGCATCCATTTTCTCTCCGAAAGCTTGATGTATGTCATAAAACAAAAGAAAGTCAAATTGTGTTCAAATCAACATTATTTGAGGCTTTACCGTTCCATGCTGTGCTTACTTCATTCAGGATTGCAGCTTATATGCAAACAATCAGCAAAAGCAAGAGTGCTGCTGTAGTGAACATACAGTACACAAGGCCAACAGCACAAATGCGATGATATTTCTTTTATACAACAGTTCAGTAAACAAGAAATCAATATAAAGTAATGCAAGTTCTTTTGTTTCAAAAGAAGGCAAATGCATTTTGACAAGCAACTAGACACTGATGCACTAACATAGGCAAGCAGAAGGATATGAACAGTAACTATCTTCTCTTCACGCACAAGAACATGTTAATTTGATACAGGCCAACCAAATTAGAGCACCACAACTAACTGTTGTATAAAGAAAGATTTATGCTGTATACAGTAATGAATGTTACATATGAAGCAGGATATGTAATGCCTTTCTTCCTTATCTTAAAACATAAGCGGGTTCAGGGATTCGGGTTTAGGTGTCCCGTTCAGGTCTTAGGGTTGAGATCTATAGCCCAAAGATTGTAATTCTAGGTGGTACTGTCACTGATATTATGGAGTTTGAGCATTTTCATCAAGCAGCCTGAATGTTTAGAAGATCTAGACATCTTTTAATTCAAGACTTACAGGGTATTCATCTGTACATTTTTGTTTGTGCATTTGATTTCATAAGAGAGACGTATTAGTTAGCTGCTTTGACATTGAAATTGTTTGCCATGTCTGTTTTATATGAACTAAATATATTTACTGACTAGTGAATATACACTTATTACTTATTTTAGTAGAACCAAATACTAGAAATGAAACCTCATATTGTAACAATCACTATTTAATGTTACTTCATTTCATTCAGGAACTATTATGAATGGGTATACAGAGCAGATCTGGGGCCAGATGTGTAATATTTATATTCATAAAGTATGGCAACACTATTTACAAATAGTTAATAGGACATTAAGTCTTGCTGTTACATTCAAAATATGTCTAGATGAACTTAGGCAATAAGTTTGAGAAACTGCACCTATAGAGTGAGGAAGCAAGACATTTCTGCTTATACATAGCTATATGTTTGGAGTGCATTTCTGAAGTTAGGAAATAAAAGACAAAAAGTGTCGTTTGTATTGGTAAAATCATCAGTTGCAATGGCTGTCATACATAGCTGGGTATATGAAATGGTTTGGAGGAATTCTTTTATGAAATTTTGGTTTTATGTTAGAAAATACAGATACAGAGACTATTTTCATCAAATTGCACTGTGAAATGTATTTATCTGTATATAGTTCTAGAATTTAGAATGTCTGAACTCTAAGCTCTAATGGGTGTACATAGCATATTCATATGATAATTGTTAATACGCAAAGAGGACAGTTACATGTCATATATTGATCCTGAAGTGGAGTCAGGCATTGGATTAAGCCAGGACCGGTCCAAATTCTGCATGCTTCAAGTGTCTCATCTGTTTATTTTGACTGATCATAAACATGCAAGGCAAGATAGAAGAACAGGAAAAACTGTGTCAATGATAAATTACCTTCTTTTTGTGACTATGATTTGATAAATACTATTAAAAAGATGAAGTGTACAAGAAATCTCATGACTTTATTTTTGCTTATGAGTAGTGCACTACACTGAACATGACTGAAATAATTAGTTCATTGATTAGGATTGAAATAATAATACATTTACAGTACCAGCTGCCATGACAAAGAAAAGGGAGACCAATTAGATCATCACATTTTACATATCATTCTTTATTTCTATGCAAGTTACTGTGTGTACCATGCTTTGTTTTGGCAACAAAATGTTTAGCCAAAGTACAGTATTAGATTGAATCTTTCCAGTGGTTTTCGGTTTTATTTTTAAAACAGTTCAGGATGCATTTAACTTGGGAAACTGTGAAAAAAAAATGATTTTGTGAAAACTGTAGAGTTGTGCTTTTGGGATTTTTTTTTTTAGATTACTTTGATAAAAATATAAAATTCACTATACTGACATGCACTTCTATAATTTGATCCTGACGTGATAAATGTGTATCATATTAGGTATGCAGCTTGATATATAAGAATGTGCAGGTTAAAAATGACTAATTTACATTACTCTTGTTAAGATATTATTTACAAAAATATAACATGTTCATTGGTTGCACAAAAATATATCAGTTAAAAAAACATTTGAACTTAGAAGTAAAATGAATGGCTAGCATGATTTTGCTTTTTGTGCACTGGTGGTCACAAACAAGATTGGGTGACCTTTTTGTGTACTAATGCACTTAAAAAAGCAGGAGGGGCTTTATGGTTGGAGGTAGAGAATTTATCTGTACTGGAGGAAACTCTTGAGCAGAGTAGGCAGTTTGAGGTGTGGAATCAGATGCAGTCTGGATCGGCCCATGTAGTTTCGGATACTCAGTCTACACAGCTGACAGAGAGACCGCGGCGTGGCTATCAAGGAAGAGACAGTCAAAGTTAGCAATATCCCCCCTTTTATTAAAAAAAATATATATATATTTTTTTTTTAACAACTTAGCCTACACTGAAAAAAATGTTTTCATTATTATGTTCCCATCCATTTACATTTATCACAATAATTTCTGTAATTTTAACTCAAACATTACAGTTTTAACTAAACATTTTCATAAATGAATTTAATTATAGTAGTTTACTAATTTCAACAGTAATATAGTCTATAATGTATGGAAGGTGCAACTTTGGAACGACTGACTTAGCATGTGAATGGGTGATTTCTGCACCAGACAATCTTTTAGCCTAAAATATTTCATCAGTTCATCAAAGATAATTTTTTTCTTTAAGTTGCATTCAAAATTCACACTAGACCCTGGCTTATTTCCTCAACCCATTCCCTCTCTTTCCTGTCAAAATCAACTGAGCAACAATACCCTCATAAAGAAGAAGCACAGCCTCTGCTGCACTGCTGGGTGGCACTGTTTCTACCGGCCTTTGTAGCTCCAGGTTGCGAGCGTTGATGTTAGCGCCAAAGTCTAGTAGCACTCTGATGATTTCTGGACAGTCCTTCTGTGTTGCAGCGTGCAGCGGTGTGTCCAGGAAACGGCCCTTCTGCACATTTGCTCCTAAGAAAAACACATTTATTTATGATAGGGTAAAATAAAAACTAAAGAACTAAGGTGAGATGACCTGACCACACACCAAAATACACCAAGTAATTGAATTTCTTTTTTTGTGTAGTTTGAACAGTAAAAGTGTGCAAAGAGCCACATCAAACTCACCTCCATCCAGAAGTTTCTGTGTACACTGGAGCTGCTGGGAGACACAGGCAATGTAGAGAGGTGTTCCTAGATGAGGGATGTCATAATCTACATCTGCTCCCCACGAGATGAGAGACTCTATACATGCTGCTCGGCCTGAGACAACAAACACATGTATGTTTACATTTTTGTAACCTCTGCTATAAATGTTTAGTGATTTTGCTTTCGCCAACCAGGGAGGCGAAATAGTGTAGTGATGGGTACTCACGTCACCAATGACGTTATGATTTTTGGATCACGTGTCACTTAAGGTGCAGTTATGAGTACATCGGATAAGAAAGATTGGTGGGATATCTAACTTGTAGAACCTCTTTCTGTATTATCAACACAAGGAAGACACAAGTGTAATAAAAATCAATTTTATTAACAAAAGATAGGCACAACTTATCAACAACTACTAAATGAATACCATAAATGGAGCAGAAATCTGTTTCAACAACCATGAACACGAACTGCTGTAGGACGCTGATTTCCTGGAGCACCAAAAAAGTCTAAAATCTGGAATGCAGATGTGGCCCTGGAGTAGGTGCAGAAGGTCATTTGCCTGGAATACGCAGACGAAAGTACCTTGAAGTGAAGGTTTGCTCGCTGGAGCTTCACCTTGTTGCAAATGTCTGGCTAGAGAGTCAGAACTTGGTCAATCCACTTTGTCTCTCTTGAACGTGCTGCATCTGTTGTTGTCTTGCTGGACAAAGACTCTGAACGTAGAGTATCTCTTTCCTTGCAGGCTGGAGGCCCAGAACGTGGTCCTATCTGTTGCTGCCTCAAAAGCTGGAGACTCAAGACAAATGGGTCTGTTGCTGCCTTCCCAGTAGTGGGCTGCAGGCTCAGATCTTGTAGAGTCGTTGTTATAGCTGTTATTGCCTCTTCCCTCATGGGCCAGAGACTCAGAACAAGTGTATCTGTTAGTGTCTCACTGGACGTGCCAGAGACTCAGAATAAGATGTGTCTTTTGGAAGGGTACCTTTATCCCTTACAGATGAGAAGGAGATTGCAATTTAGCACTTCTCCATTCCCATGCTGTGATTGGCTGTTTCCATCAGAGCGGGGGAACATAGTGTGGCTCACCCTTCTTTCCTCCTGTGGAACTTATTTGCATAGTCCAAACACAATGTTTTACCTGTGCATTTCTCACTTTCCAAACCACAACCATGCTTTTGGCAATGTTACGAACGCATCAAGTCCAAACATGATGGGAAAAGATTTAACTGTCTTGCATGCATTTATTTGACCATTAACAGCTGAGTTTGTGTTAGATGTTGCACTACACATAGCTGTCACTGAGAATAATTATTTCTCTGAATAAGTATAAGATGGATGTGTTGTAGTTTCATCAGTTTTAAGGTTTGAAAACATAGATATGAATGGATTTGGATGGATCTTTGTGATCTTTCTCTTTGTTTCACCCACTGCTGCACTTCTGGAGTTCCTAAGGACTTTTTTTATGGCGGTCACAGGCCAAAACCTTAGGAATCAGTCTCTAGGTGGGTGAAGGGCAGAAAGTCCTGTCGTTCCTTGGTACCAGAGGTCTTCTTCTTGCCCTCTAAGAGGTGCCCTCTAAGAGGTGCCTGGCTGTTGTCTTGCATCTTTATCTGATGGTGTTGGACAGTTTCCACCATTAGTCCACCAATATCCAATCAAAATAGCAAACCTTTGTCCACTATAAACTGGCCATAAACTGGGCCCTGGAATGTGCTGTTCACTACAAATGCATTGAAATCAATGGATTTATTGTGGTTAGATTAGAGCAGTTACCTGGCAAGCAGAATTACTTACCTTTGCTGGAGGCCTCATGAATTGGTGAAGGCTGGCACGCTTCTGCCTGTGGTTTTGCTCCATGTTCCAAAAGCACCTCTGTGCAGGTGACACTTCCTGCTGAGCAGGCGTTAAACAGCGGGGTCACGCCATCAATGGTCGTGGCATTCACCTGCCATGTACAAGAACATTTTAACAGGACACTCCACACAAACAGATCAAGTTGCCTTTTCAGTCTTCTACTATACAAAGAGCAAGTCTTTCCTGAAACAATTAAGGAAAACCGGGGTTAGTTGTCACAAAGGTAAGTTATCAGAAGAGGCTATTACAGTAACTGTGGTTTTGAGATCAAATTCAATAGTTTATGCAAGTGAAATAATTTATTTACATAATTTATTTAGTTCTTTAGAAGTTCAGTTGGTTGCAGAAGTTCAGTTGAATTTTTGCTATAGCTGTAAACCAGCAAAAAATAAATAGACAAATAAATAAATAAAAACACAGGCAGATATTCAAGCAAGCATCTAT